TTTCTATTCCTGGAGCGAGCAGCATTCCACTTGACATTTGATGCCCATGAGATTTTTATAGAATCTAGGTTATGAGATTGAGTCTCTTGCCACATATTTTTGAATGGAAAACTGTGTTTCTTTTCCCTGGAGGTATTCTGCATTGTGCTTTTCTTTGAAATAGTTTTGATTATTTAAAAAGAAGCCTCCAATGATAAAAAAAAAAACCTTTTGCATAATAATCACCATTGACTAAAGAGCTTTTCAGTTGTTTTAAAGAGAATTTGTTCAGAGAAAAGAAAGCAATGACAATCCCCTCTTCTGCTCTAAATAAAAGCAAAAGGCCATCTTGATGTTACCATGATATAGTGGGGGAGGTGTTTCCTACTAAAAAATTCAGTACAAATTTTCTTTTGAAAAGACAAATGAATATATATATATATATGTGTGTGTGAAAGGCCATCTTAATGTTACCATGATATAGTGGGGGAGGTGTTTCCTACTAAAAAATTCAGTACAAATTTTCTTTTGAAAAGACAAATGAATATATATATATATATGTGTGTGTGTGTGTTTAAGAGAGACAGATATTTTTATAGTACATATGACTTATTGCAGGGACTTTAGTCCAAGCACAGTACATGAAACATTTCTTGCCCAATTATCCTGACAAAGATATGCATTTAAGTATCTGATATAAAAATATACAATGCATGATCAACTTAGATAATTTATCAAAAATGCACTCAACTAAATTATTTTATTCTCAAAGAAAGAGGAAAATTAATGTTAGGATATTTTGTGTTTCAAAAATTGACATATGTCCTAATATAATTGTTACTTAAACTTTGTATTGCCCAATTATCCTGACAAAGATATGCATTTAAGTATCTGATATAAAAATATACAATGCATGATCAACTTAGATAATTTATCAAAAATGCACTCAACTAAATTATTTTATTCTCAAAGAAAGAGGAAAATTAATGTTAGGATATTTTGTGTTTCAAAAATTGACATATGTCCTAATATAATTGTTACTTAAACTTTGTATTTATAGCACTTAC